ATCTTGTTGATGGCGGATAGCTTTTTCGTGCGGTTGCACCTGACGAAGCGGAGCTTCCCGTACAATTCCGTCAACAACACGAAGCACTGGGTCGACCGAGCCAGGATTCGGTTGGGAAGACTTCTCCAGAAGGTGGGCCTCGTAGAGGGCTTGGGCAAGCATCCTGTTCGTTTGGTCAGGGAAACCATCCGGGAAGTCATTCAAATCAACCTTGCAAGCCATCAACATAGAAGGCTTAGCAGCGGGCGAGCCCGAGGCACCTTGGACAATGTCCCGGCGCACGACCCCCTTGGCTGACTGAATGCGTTGCCACTCGTCCAGATGATAAACAGACGGCTGGTCCTGGCGTTCAAGAAGGCTCGTGTGAACCCATGGGATGCCTCTTTGAAGCGCAATGCGAACAAGCTCGATCGCTCTTTGGGACAGGAGAGTGTCTTCCTGCACTTGAAGGCGCTCTTGAGCTGTCAAGCCTTTGCGCATGTAAAGCTCTGGGCCCCAGGCAAGTCGCAGCGGCTTCGAGCCTCCATCGCACCCATTTCCCGCGCACGAAAACGTTTCGCAGGGAGTGCTGAGCAACAAACCAGCCAAGTCTTCAGTCTCTGCTCGACGCTTGAGGTCATTGAAGAGGTTCTCATCGAGCAAGTCCCAGCCATTGAGCGCATCGAAGTTTTCACAAGTGGCCCCAAGCTCTCGTAACTTGGCTTGGAAACCGTTCATCCTGTCAGCACGCCCCGGAAAAACGTGCCAAAAATGCGGAGTGTCACATGGACGGCGGATGCGTTTGATGGCCGGACGCGGGTCAGGCAGCCCTGAAACTGGGCCACCTTCATGAGGCCCGGCCTGGCATCCAGCAGGCCCCGAGTCGGGGCCGTCTCACTTGGCAGTTTTTGCGCCACCTTTGCCGCCACCCTTGACTTTCCCTTTGGGCGTCACGTTGGCGGACGGCGGCGGCTTCGTGCAACTGTGCGCCCCATGTTCTGTGCTGAGGCAGAGGGAGCACTGGTGAACTCGATTGGCATCCTTGGCGCACCGACCGTACTTATTGGTCTCGCAGCATGTGCCTTTGTTGAAATCCCGGCACAGCTCAACACCACGGCGGTTCGTAACGTACTGGCCCTCGGACACGTTGTGCAGTCGCTGCTCCTTCTTCAACTTCAATCCGGGCTTCTTCTTGGGCTGCTGCTGCTGCTCGGGGGCACGGGTCGTGGAGGTTGTAGGAGCGTCACCTTCCACAACGCTGCTCAAGGGTGTTGAGCGGCTGATGACCAACAGGCAAGGATCCTCGAGCTCTTCCTTCCAAAAACGGTTGTCTTCGATCAAGGCTCGCAAAGCCCATTCCCATGGTTTGGCCGGATTGAAATCATGGGAGGTTCCCGCAGCATCCGCTTGCGCTTTGGCTTCTGCGCCAATTCTTCGGCATCTTTCCCAATGCTCTTGACGGGCACGGACGTCTGCCTGAAAAAGTAGATGCCACACGGTTGAGCCATATCGGGAGTGGTACTTCTTAAGCATGTTGAGGTATGCATCGCAACGTGCTGGAGTGAGAATTCCCAGCATCACCGCAGCTGCACGGAACACCCTGAAGCAACTTTCCCATTGCTCGAAGGAGCCTGGGCCTGCCATTTCGACGACTTGGAATTCGCCATTGGGCAAAATCTGCATTCCTCTGAGCTTCAACTTTTTCAGCAAGCGATACTGGTGAGGACCCCACACCGCCAGATCGACGTACGGCGGAGCCCCTGAACCCACCACTGCATGAAGCGCAGTCAATTGCTCTCCCGTAGGTTCTTCGTCGTGGGGTGGGAAATCACCGAGCGCTGTCTTGAATCTCTGATAAGCTTCGGCGATCTTTGTCCTATCCAGGAGATGCTCTTCAGCATCATTGGTCTGATCAATCACCGAAGAGAGCTTGATCTTCTTCTTTGGCGACGCAGCTGCGTCACCAGCGCTTGTGTTGCTGGCCACCGGTGGAGCTGCCAGTGACAATGTCCCGGACTCCATGCCACACGCTACTCGACAGGCCCTCCCCACTAGTCCAGCTTGACCTCGTTGTGCTAAACTGGGAGGATGGGGACTGCCATCAGCCGTTGGCACTTTCCAGTTTGTGAGTACAGAGTCGTACTCAGCCTGTGGCGAAATGCCAATGACTTTAACAAGAGAATCGTTGTTAACCCCTAGGAGCGTCCACAATGATTTGCGGACATCATCATCAGGCAGAGTGGCCCATTCAGCCGCTTGCCCCATCGTCTTGATGCGTTCGGCATCTTCCGGACTCAGGTTCATATTCTCACAGGTTTGCGTCAACAGCGAGATCGAGGGCCAAAATCGAAACGAAACAAAACAGAGCCCTCACCTGAGTAGCCTCGAGCAAGGTCAAGGCTCCGGCAAGGCTCAGTCCCCCCCGTCCCCCCGAGAACTCATTCGCTCGATTATTACTTCCATACCGCTGCGCTCTATTCACATCGAAAAAAACTCGGGCGATGCAAGATTTCGGCGAGGCTGTTGAATAGAGTTGTTGTCTAGAAATCGCTTCTGAACTGAGCCTGAGAGACCAAAGATCTGAGCCTGAGCAAAGGTTTAAAGCTTGAGGCCTGAGGTTGTCGGGCCCTAAAATCTTAAGTCTCCAGGCCAGCCCCAAAGCTAAGATTTCCTTATAACACGCTTTTTGTACCGAGGCCAGGCACTCAAATTTCAAGGGCGGGGGGGGGGGGGGTCTGGCTCTACATGATTGTAAAAGGGATGAGCGTGTATGAATTTTAAAGGGATGCATACGATTTGAAAAGGGATGAGTTTACATGAGTTTTTAAGGGGTCCATACGATTTTTGAAAGGGATGAACTTCTATGAATTCAAAAGGGATCCATATGATTTCAAAAGGGGTGAGATTGTATGAAATTAAACGGGATCCATACGATTTTAAGAGGGATGAGTCGTATGAGTTTAAAAGGGATTCAAATGATTTTAAAAGGGGCCCACATGATTTTAAAAGGGATGAGTTTATATGAATTTAAAGGGGGTCCATCTATCCCAACCAAGCCAGCCCGCAAAAAAAATATAGTTCCGGGGGAGCAAACGTTTCATATTATACGGCATTCGGGCAGCTACTGGACTACCCCCTTTGAAATTTGATATTTTAATTCCGGGGGAGCAAACCTTTTATATTGTACGGCATACGGGCAGCTTCTAGACTACCCCCTTTGAAATTTGATTGCCTGGCCTCGGTACAAAAGCATTTTATGAGGAAATCTTAGCTTTGGGGCTGGCCTGGAAACTTAAGATTTCAGGGCCCGACAACCCCAGGCCTCAAGGTTTAGGAAGCCTCAGCCCTTAGGCCTCTGGATCCAAATCCAACTATCCGAAGGAGCCGTTTTATCTTGTCCGGCATACGGGCAGCTTCTAGAACACTAAACAGGGAGATCCATTTGTTGCACGGGGTGGGGGGGGGGGGGGCCACACTACTCAGCAGACAACATTATTCTATTTATGGTTTTGGGGCTTACATCTAATATTGCAAAGCACCGCCGGTCTGTTTTCTGCCCCCCCCCCCCCCCCCGCCCCCTCTCAATGAACAAGACAAACGACTTCAGACTGACTGTTTGCTCATGTTTCAAAACAACCCTAAGTCAAAAAATATTTCAGTTCCCTGTTTTTAACTTCGAACAAGTTCTCGGTAAATCATTCCTATCTCATAGGTCGCTTTATATGTTGGCACTTATATGTCAGTTATTACTCCGCCCGAAACATGCAACTCTCTTATAACATGTGAACAAGTATGACAAAGTTATCAAAGATACAACATAAGATAACCCAAATTGTAACATGAGCTAACCCAACTTATAACAAGCCTATCTTGATGCGGCCCACATAGCCGTCTATTATAGCCGATTACGGTCTACTATAATAGCCGATTATAGTCTATTATAGCCTACCATAGGCTATTATAGCTTCTTGCAAGACACTCGTGCGATAGTGCACGAAGCCTTCTGGCACTGCCTGGGCCTCGTCTGAAAGCCGAAGGCTGGACCCAACACCCCTGACCCGCAAGCCTCGGCCCTGAAGGGTTTAAACCTTAACCCAACCCCAACGAAAGCCTTGCACTCGAACGGCACGCAATGCATCCTAGACCACCTGTGGAGAAACAAACAGTGCAGCGGTGCAGCGAAAGAGGAATCGAAGCCAAGAACCCGAAATACGACATTAAAAAAAAACGAAATGAAAGTTTGAAAGCTCTAGATCCACACACAAAGCTATAAATAGCCCCCCAAATAAAACCCGCTTCCACACTGCATCACGCTTGCAAGCATCCACTGGAACCCTTGTGTCCCTTGATTGCTTTCTCGATGTTGGTGAAAACCGGGAGTCAAGCTTGAGGCTCCCAACAGGGGCCAAAACCCAGAAAAAAAACAGAGCCCTAAAGCCTAGTTAAACACCTAAACCTTAACTTATTAACAGCGCGAACTAAAAAACACACACGATTATGCATAGAGCCTAGAGACACAGAGGGCGGCTAAAGGCCCAAGACCCTACAAGTCTTAAACGTTGACCAAGGAGCCGAATGTCCAACATTTCCTTGAACCCAAAACCCGAAAGGACCGCACTCACCCCGCAACAACCGCGAAGCCCCCAACACCAATCCCCCAATGAACGCGCCTGAAACTGAACCCTAAACTCCGAACCCAGTAAAGGAGCACGTAGGGGGTTTAGAGGTTTAAGGATCAGAGTTTAGGGGTTTCGGGGTTAGGGATTAAGGTTTACTGGTTTAGGGCTTGCTAAACAATGGTCTACAGTATGACCTAACCCCTAAAACCAGTTTCTATGAAGGATCGAAAAGGTCAACCTTTCGCCTCAACCTAACATCCCCATCTGCCGAAACCCTCAACCCTGGTAGGCTCTAAGCCCTGGATCCTAAAGCCCTCCTGAGTGAATAGAGGCATATTTAAACGTGAGGATTTGGGGCTGATTTAAGGCATCTTCCTGCAGAGTCTCTTGGTAACAAAAAGCCTCTTCACTCGCCGTAGTGTCGCGCAGGAACTCCTCCCCCTCCTCCTTGAGTAAAGAAGGCCCTAAACTGTTGACTTAGACCTTTATAAGAGCCTCTGGGCCTTTGGGCCACGCTCTACTGCAAGTGCTGTTTCTCAGGATTCAGTCATTGCATAGCATAGAACATCGGAGCCAGCCTAGGAAGTAGGACATCGATCTTGAAGCCGAAAGAATTTATGTAACTCGCAGAGCCCATGCAGCATCGCGTTGGTAATCAGACATGCATACATGCAATGTGTATATATGTATATGTGCATAAATAAGTACGAGTAAATAAATACAAATATACATATAAATAAATTATATATATATATATATGTATATGTATATGTATATGTATATGTATATGTATATGTATATGTATATGTATATGTATACATATATATATGTACACACAAGTAAAGGTACATCAAAGATAGATAGATAGTTGGATAGATAGACTGATTGATGGATAGACAGTAAGACTGACAAATAGATCAGATGGATAGATAGATAGAAAAAGAGTCAGATCTGGGTCGAGGCTGGCAAATACCTGAACACAGTCTACATGGATTTTCCGGGGCTTCACCTTCATGTAAGACTCGCCTCAAACCACTGCACAAAATGCATATGCATGCGTGCCCTGAACGTAAAAGACTGCATAGTTAGCACTGCGCCCGACCCGAGACTTAAAGCTCTAGTTCCAGAACAACACTGAAACCCCTGAGACTTCATGCCAAGCCTTCACCTTCCATATCAGCCTAAAGCCTAACCTCTAGATCCTACAGTAGGAAACTTGGGTAGTTAGTTCCCCCACTCTGTGGCAATTGGATCATATTTGCACTATAAATACATATTCTGCCCGTGATGTGACCACGAACATAGACTGTTACAGAGTGGGGGCAGCACCCAAGGAAAAACTGCCTATGCATGTGCGTCTATATATATATATATACAGATGTGTACGTATATTTGTTCTGTGCATACATACGTACATACATACATGCATGCGTGCATGCATACGTACATACGTACATACATACATACATACATACACAGATACATACATACATGCATACATGCATGCATACATACATACATGCATGTATGTGTGTAGTCGTAAATTTGCTTATATGTTTGTTTGTCTATTTATACATTTACTTAGAGTCTAGTTGTTTGTTTATGGGAGTTTGGATTCCCTAGCAACTTTTGCGAGACCTATCGGCAGCGCCTTCTCGGATGGAAGCGTGGTGCTGCTGCTGCTGCTGTGGTCTTCCTCTTTCACACTGCCGTCGTCTTCCTCTTTCACACTTACAGGAGCAGGGTTGGGGGTTCAGGGTTTCTGTTTTTGCAGGACCAAAAGCGATGTCACGATGTGGTTGTAGGTTCTGAGAGCTTGGTGCATTTCTGGATTTCCTAGCTGTGCTCTGTCTTCCCTAAAGAACCCAGCACTGTTCGAAGACCTCGTTAAACCGTAGCCTTACAGTAGGTCTCGTGCTAGTACTACTCAAATCCGGTGCTCTCTCGGGCATGGCTTCTTGGTTCTGGTATCAGTGGTGATCCTCTTGACAGTGGTGGTGGCACTTAGCGTCACCATAATGGCGACGGCGGTAGACTGCGCCATAGCAGGAAAGACAATGAAGTGCAGGATAGAGGGTGCAGGCACGTAGGTTCGGCGGCAAGTGGGCAGGCATACGCGGTTAGCCGATGATGTCAAGCAGCTACAGTAAACAGACAGACTAGAGGGTCCTGCGGCCAGACGAAAGTGTGGCTGGTGTCCTGCATTAAAGCAACAACTCTCACTTGCTCATAGGATCTGAGGCGTCCAAACTGTCCATGTCTTTTGGTGTTAAACCAGCAACCACAAATCAACCATTTTCCAAAATCGGTACCTATAGTGAGCGTCTGAACCCAAAGAAGACGGCTTGGCGTTCCAAAACTACTTGGAGGTTCATGGTACTTATTAACCAGTTATAACTGTACTTATAATTGTACTTCTAAGCCCCTTGAGTGCCCTTGTACGGTTACAAGTACAGTTATAAGTACAGTAATAATTGGCTAGTAGTATACTATGAACCTCCAAGTAGGGGATTGTCGGGCAGAACAGGGCAGGCTCGGAAGGCGGGGAACTCACAAAGCGACGTTTCGGGGGCTGCGAGGGTCAGTGAGTGGGGCAGGAAGGGAAAGACGACAGTTGACGCCTGCCTGCATCTTCATTGAACTTTCGTCTGTGCACCCTAAGATGGGCTTTGCGAACTCTGGAAGGGGACTCCAAGCAGGGACTAAGAGCCTCCCTTCCACAATGGATTAAGCTGCTTTGGGACCGTCTAGGATACTTTGGAAAAGTCGGAGAGCTAAACCTGCATAGCCCTTACTTACATTTCGGGGAAGGCGCGAGGACTGGCCAAAAGCCCCGACAGTACCCCAAACCCTAGACCCTAAGCCAAAGAGGGTGCCGCAGGGTAGTCGCAAGGCCTCATCCGGCTCCCAGAATTCGGGGTCTGCCTGGGCAGTACAGTATGTTGATTCTTGTGTTGTACTCAACTATGTTCTATCATATCATATTACATCATATCATATCATCCGGAATAATCTAACATAACCGTGCAGAATGTTATAGAATATTGTCTCATATTGTACCGCAAAATATTTTAGCATATCATATTGTACTGTACCGTATTGTATAACACTGCATAGTATTGTATGATACCACACTCTATGGTACTGTAGTCTTGGGTGTTATTGCAACTGTCGTAGATTAGACTATCGTAAGTTCAATAAAGTATAGTATACTATGGTCTGTTGTAGGATATTGGTCGTGGCAGCCCTTTGTCCGGCCTGTGGTCGGTACCGTCGCCGTCTCGGCTTACCTGAGCGGAGCTCGCGGATTTGTCGGAGACGTGAATGCAAGAAGTGCACTGCGGAACTGTGCCGGGGACGCAGTGACCAGGGAGGGTCTAAAACCCAGCCTGCAGCAAAATCCAGAAGTGACTCCACGTGCAAACTGCTGGCTCAACTAGGCGCTGGACTCATGCTGTACTCTGCTTCGATTGCGAACTCCTTCCCAGGACGGAGTCATATTGGTGAGAAGCAACTTCTAACAACAATGCTTGGGATATCTTGTGTGATGCTGCTGAGGGTCCGATCTCCGTGATTTAGGAGTCCGCGGCAATGGAAAGGCCTTGGCGACAGTGAAAACGAAAAAGTACTTAGGATCGCGGTTTACTCTGACTGCGCGTCCCCTTGAACGTCGAAACCTGAACTAGCTTGAACCCCGAACTGCCCATAAACGGTCTTGAGGGCCCTGGCGATTTCACTCTGGGACTCGGAGCCCTCCAAGGGTGCGACAGGATGAAGGGGTGCTGTCGAATCGGAGTTCGAGTTTAGCATTTTGGGCTGCGTTTGAGCAAGTCTGGCTGTGATGGTTAGCCACCGGAGCGCAGCCGGACTGGTCAGCATTCAAAATGAACAGAGGCAGCAGAGATCCTCAGGGCTTAGGGTTTTAACACGGCACGCTCAGGCTTTCGGCCTTTAACGCTTCGGGATTTGAGGGTTAGGTACACCAAAAAGCACAACCAAACGGTGATGAGAAAGCTCAAACTCAGAGCAACCGATCCGCCTCATACCCGCCGGATGGCTGCCACCTGGAGACGTTCCGGATGGTCAAGGTTGGGTTCAGGGTTTGGGCTTCATTAAGTTAGGAAAAGCAGTTTTTCGGGCCTAAGGTTTTGTGTTCAGACATTGCTGTCTGGGAGCATTGGCTCTGAAGCCTTAGATGGGCGTTTCATTCCTGCAATAGGTGAAGGCAGAGATGGAAACCTAGACAAGTACAACACATGGATAGATAGGCAAAACTCTGACCTCTTGGGGGCGTGAAAGAGAGCAGTGCCAAGCATCCTGCTAAAAGACACTCTTCAGAACAAGCGAAGCATGTGATGATTGCTGATACTCGAAGCTTAGTAATATGAAACCGCCCAAAAGGCTTTCGAGCAGCGACAACAACAAGCTCGCCCTGTTGCATCAATCTACCATACTACTTTACAACTAGGCTCGAATAATTTTACAACGACCATAGCGAACAGGTAGCTGTGACAGCTAGCGCAAAAAGACTTTGTGTTTGACAAATGAACAAGGAGACGCTGTCTACACGACGTTTCCACGCGCACATACCCATGCAAAAACGCACGAAAGTCTGATTCCACATGCACAGAAGACTTTGACCCTGCGAAAATCAATGACGAGACTCTAAACTCCAAAACATAATACCTTAAACCTCACACCTGGTGAAGCCCAGGCCACTTGCCTGTCATCCGAATCCATCGTCACCCAAAGCGGGCCCTGGACCAGCCGAATGCAACTTGGCTTCGTCTCACTCAGGATGTATGTCGAAGTACGCACATGGATGGCATGCGGTGCGGTGCAAGTGCCTCGGTCATCATGGACCGTGTGCCACTGTCTGCATCCACGATTTTGAAGCACCCCTGCGGCGCCTTGACCAAGCGAATCAGCGAGTCGCTCGCCTGCCGTCAGCAGACTCGTGAGGGAAGAGCGGTGAGCGAGCAAGCATGAAGAGAGTGGGTCAAGGGGGTGAAAAACAGCTTTTCGATGGTCGCCCAAAGCCGGAAAGCCCACTCCGGGACGCAGCAACTTGGCCAGCCAAGGAAGGCAACGAAGGCAGAATGCCCCGAGGCCGGGCTTTCGTCAAGTCTGCATCATTGAGCTGCGCACCCTGAGCAGAGAGGCCATCTGGGTTGTGCTTCCGGTATTCTCTGGTTTGAGTAGGCAAACTACCAGTAAGGCAATTGTGCGAATGTTGGTGCACATGGCGTCCAGAAAGCACACACCTGGAGAAAAGCCTAAAGGGCGCATTCCACCTGTCGGGGATGGACAGCTGTCCGATACTAAAAGATAGTGGAATGGGTGACCGTCATCAGCTGATGTCTGGAGATCAAGCTGACACAAGCCATCTTTCTGCATGGCGCCGCATCTGTTTCAGCGATGCTGTGGCCTCCTCCATTGAGTTCCACTGACAGAGACACCATGTGGCACCATGTGGAATCAATTGCTGCTTTGCAGCTCTGAAGATACTCCCGACACTACCCCTAGGTGTTCTGCACTACCAGCGCACGATATGACAGGTGACACCTGCGGCTGTTCATGCCGCCTGCTTGCATTCCAGCACTTGATGGATCTCATCTGCAATCAAGCCAGCTCGGGCAAAGAACATGGCGAATCCGACGAATGTGTCTTCGCCTGAGCTCATGGAGGCGAGACTGCTGCATGCGTAGCAAATTGTGTCGCTGTGAAGTCTCGCCGCGACCCGCCTCGAAAGCCATCCTCGGCTTCACGACCCTGGCCCCAGAGCCTTCCAGGCGCCTCGAACTTCACAACTTCTCAAGGTTTCAATTTCAAGCCAGCTCAGAAACATGCCAGCTCTGATGGCTCCTTGCAAAAGTTCTGAAGCCAGCCGGAGCACTTCCCCCCAAGGCACGCCCAAAGCAAAAACCCCTGGAGGAGCGCCGAGCAAAGCACCAGAAACCTGGCAGCCACATGAGCCCTATGCCAGTTCTTGCAGAAAGTGCGAATACTTGCGGATGCTACGGAGAATCCACCCATTTCCACCCTCTCTCACCTCGTCCCGTGGTAGTTCTTGTGCTTTCACCCCATCGATGGTTGGCAGCTGGCCTCGGGACCAAGTGACTGCGGCGCTGAGCTTTTCTACAAACTTCTTGAGATTCAGCCTTGCCATAGCGCTTCTTACTAACTTTAACTGACGTACGTGTAGCTCTTTACCTTTTGGTCGTTTGGTCAGACTCTGACTCGACATGTACGAGGTGTTTTGCTCTCCGAGGAGCAGTTGCGCGCTTCAGTTGTGCACTCCAGGTGCCTCCCTTGAGGCCTTGAGGCCCTGACTCTTGACATATCCAGTGCAGTCGATGACCCAGTCCCATTCTTCGGGCAAGAATTCCTGAACAGCTTGGCTTCGGCTGTCTACAGTTCTGTTTGATGGCTGCTGAGAAGCAAGGCGCGGTCGTCTCATAATGTGCGACCGGCACCGAACCCAAGGGGGGGCCCAGCCTTGTCTTCTGTCCGCTCATGATGTTCCCCCTGCTGCCCCCCACCAAGTTGTGATGTTGAGGGTTGCCCACACCGCTCCTCGCCCACGCTGAACCCACATCCATCGGACCTCTCGTTTTTTGGCAGCCAGCTCTTGGTTTTTATTTAGCAATTGCCAAAGACTCCAGAGCGCAAATTCCCCTGACCCTCCCACCCCTCTTCATGTAATGCCAAATGGTGTTGCGCACGGTCCTTGAGACCTAAGCCTTAAGCTGGCTTCATCGACAGCGCGACGACAGATTGTGCACAGGCCTTTTGATTGTCCCCGCCGGGCTCACTTGTTTGCTTCCCCCCACCACTCTCACACCCCCCCCAATCCTGAACCCTGGAAGCTCGGGTATCGGAAGGACCGGGCAGGCCTGTGCCAGCTGCCCGAGCTCCCCGCCTTGATGTGTTTGATTTCTAGCCAACTTGTCCCATGGACCATGTACTTGCGACCGAAGACGGCTCCAAAGCCTTTCAGTCCTGTCAACATCAGAGAAGGCAGCGCAATGTAGAATATAGTTTCGCAGTTGTGCCTTTCATGCCCTCCTTTCCCACGTCTGAAGTCCTGTTGAGTTGTAGCGATACACATTTGAATCCTCCAGCCATTCGGCGCAGCGCAAAGGACGTCTTGAGAAACAGGTGATTGACAGCGACATAGGCCCAGCGAGCTCCTCAACAGTCCACCGCTTTGCAATGCATTGGCTAACGTTCATCAGTAAGCAAACTGTGCCGCAGGGCAAGCCAGGGCACGCTGAGCTTGGCGAGAGCCACTGCGGCTGTATGAGAATTCCTTGAGCTTTTGCATGTGCTCTGATTGGAAGAAATGATCAGCTCATGTTGCATTCTTGCGCCCCCTTGATTAAATTACACTTATTGATTGCTACGAGTCAATTTCATGTTGTGCAGCAGGTGACATGACAAAGGCGAGGGACCCCAGCACGGCCAGGCGCTGGTTTGGCCGCAGTCGCTGCCGGAGCAAAGCCTGGCAACGTGCACAGCACGGGGCGACAGGAAGAAGGCACATCAAGAAGACAATCAGAGGTTGAGCAAAGGCTTCGAGCAAACTCCACAAGAAAGCATGCAGCACCGGCATCAGGCGCACAGGGCTCACAAGAGGCTGCTGCAACTTGCGGCACCAAATTCCATATTCCTCGTCCTAGAACCCTCCCAAGCAAGCCTTTCGCGGCCCTTCTTTCGCGAAGACATGAAATCGTGATAATACGGGTCAATGTTGTTTTCGACCATACGGTAATTAGACATAACAAGCCAGTCACGAAGCTGGATTCTGCAAAGGATTGCCAATAACTTCACTTTCTTGGGGTGGGGAAACACAAGGCGCGCGTGCTTACCCAAGCGCACCCCCTCTCCGTGACATGTCAGATGCGTTGCCGAAGGACGCTTCTTGTGGAGTGTGGTCGAGCGTGCGTGCTCAGGCCCTCCAAGACGCATTTTGCCTCTGATCAAGACGAAGACTTTTGCACCCCCAACCACAGCCAGGGAATCAGTGTGCGTTTTTCAGGCCCTCCAAAACGCACTTTGCCCCCGGTCAGCCCTCCTTTCTCCCGGAACCGACATGGCACAGTTGTGTGAGCAGGCTTCAAGAAAAACGAGTGGTCCGGGGCGACTGGCATAAAGTCATGAAGTAAAATTAAAAATGACACCTAGCCCTGAAACACCACGTTGAACCTGGCTAAGCCCGTGGGCAAGTTTTTTTGGATTTAGGGTAGACGTTGGGGCTTAGGCTACTTAGGGTCTCGAGGTCAGGGCCCAGGCTTACAAGGTTGAGGGCTTGGGGAGTCTTATTAAGCATGATATTATAATATTCGCCCTTTCGCCGCCCCTTTCGCGGCGCCTTCGCGGGCCTCCTGCAGATACTGCAAAACCTACATCACAAAATTCGCCAACATTTTGAACAGGGGTTTGTGCGACCCTCAGATGGCACCAGCGACCAGCCGCCTCGTCAAAGGTTGTCTCGGCAGACATGGCATTTGGCAAAGGTGCGGCTTTGGGTTCCGCTCCTGTGGCCAGGACGACGCACTGCACCTGATGTTCCCAGCTGATGCATACCGCCTCCGCTCGACAACCGCCACTCGCATCCACTCGCAGTGTGCCTTGACAGAAGTTCGACTGCCTGCGGCATCAACTGCTGCCACCCAGTGGCTTCCAACACGTGTCCTTGGCTGCGACATGTTGAGACCACTTGGCCACTTGGCAGCTACAGTAACTCAGGCTAAATCCGGATGTTGATCGTCATATGTGACATTGAAACTAGACCCCTTAGCCTTCCATAGCTTGATGCTTCATCGGGGTTCTCAACCAATCAAAACCTGAAGCGAAAGGCTCAGGAGATGGATAGTGAAGCCCAGAAGTTCTGTGCATGGATCTGACGCCAAAGACTGTTTTCGCAGAGTCAGCATGGCAACAGTAAAACGATCGGGCGCAATCGCATCTCAAGATTGAATTACAGCTTTCCAAGCCCCAATGACAGGAAAACAAGATGCCTATCGGACTGAGCGCATTGTTTTGGCTCGCCAACGAGACCTGACGGTGCGCACAACACGGCGGCATGTCCCACTCAGCGGCTGTTGGCAACGCCTCGGCCTTAGCAGCCTTAGCAGCCTTACTTAGCATTCCCCCCTTGCTCGCACAGCACGTTCTCTTGCGGCTCGCGCATGGACAGGGTCTGCGCCGGCTCCGGAGTCAGCTGCGCGACCTCCAGCGTGATCGCAACGAAGCGATCGCAAACATACGGCAGTGCTTCTTGGTGGCATCGGTACCGCGGTGTGAGAGGTGTTGGTAAACCTGGGGCATCCTCTGTGCCACCCTTCCTGCAGGAATGGAACCTTTAGATTGGAACACGTCGCAGCACAAGAAACGATAATTAACGGCAACTTCTTTCGACGCTACCGAAACAACACATTCTTGATCTGCAGGAGATATTGTCAGCGAACATCTGCAGGAGATACCGTCCGCGAACTTCAGCACTGTGGGACTCAGCTACGTGAGATGGATCAATCACACACGCCCCATCCCCGCAGGCGAGCACCCACAAAGCCTTTCGGATGGTCGTTCCCAGATGCAGGAGTGTTCTCCTCATGCTCCTTTGCACATTCGCCGTCCGAGGTTGCTCGGTGTAAACCAGCTAGTGGAGACCTCGGCGCCGTCTGCTCCTTGTCATCCACCTTGTTGCCGCTGGGGCTGTTGCTTGCTGTTGCCAGGCTGTTGCTGTGCTTCTTGCAGAGCCTCCAAGCGTTCCCGCACTAAAGTCAGGGCTTGCTCTCCGAGAAACTGTGATTTGAGACTTGCGGCGTCGTCAGGCTGCGTGCTCAGAATGATTGATGGCGAAACATCCTAGAGCATAAGACCGTCGTCCTCATGGTTGTCTTGATCGCTACCAGTAGTTTCCTCTTCGTAGGCACGCTAGGGTGTTAACTCTTCTTGATTGATTTTCGCCTGACTGTTTGCACAAAGCTCATGTTAGGGGGACAAAACTGACACTTGGAAGCAAAGCAGCAATCGAGTCACCTTGCCAAAGCAACGCGAAACACCTGCAGCACGGAGACAACGCCAGCGCAAGTTGACTTTGCACATCTCCACGACTCTCCAGGCTCCATTAGGTCCATTCTTGTTCATTGAAAGTGAGACCTGGCCTCCAGCGTGCGACAAGCCTGTGGTGACAGCGTCATAGATGTGCTTGCAGGATCCCAGCGTCGTCCATCCCAGTTCTGAAGGGTCAGTGCCTAGCTGGAGCAGTTCCTTTCAAAAAAAAGGGAGAAGGCGGGGTGCTGAGGTCAGGTACAGCTGCTGGAATATAAAGTTCAGCGAAAGTTCAGTCACCAAAGTCAAGAGACCCACACAGGATTGAAGTACTGTGCTAGATATCCGAGGACCCGCCCTGCCTTACGCAAAGCTGGAAGGAGTTTGCTGTCGTGACACACGCGCACACACACACACACACACGCCCCTACATAGGTATGAGAATCTCATGCTCAATGGAGTGGGGCACAGAGCGGGACAACGACGACTTACGTGCCATTGAAATGGGAGTGCCCAGCAGCGGAGTGACTTCTGCAAAACTTCTGTGAGGAGATAGAGTCAGACAGTGTCACCATTCTTCTTTACCTGAAGGATGCTAATGCCCAAAGTATCTCATGATGCTGAGAAGAACCTCGACACATCAACTGGAACAAGACGACTCATACGACTACCACATAAGGTCCAAGGCTTCCAGGCCGCTCTCTGCAAGCGGCTCTGCCTCTGCGATTAACTTCTGGAGAGCCGGTGTTACACAGCTCGCCACCTCAATGGACACAACAGCACACAACTGACTCAAACGACGCAAAGCGAGTGCTCGGGTATGGGTGCGCGCACGGGCACAGAAGCTCGACACAAGCCCAGCATCTTGGTACAAAAGGTCAAGGACAATAGAGTTGCCATGAGATGCCATGAGTTTTTCTTTGATCCCAGCCGCCGGCTGAAGAAGCGGATGCCGGAAGTTGCGGTCGCCCGCCTGGGAACGTCTTGGGATGAAGCACGTTTCATGGCCATCCCGGTTGGCACGCAATGTAAAAACAACACTTCGTGTGTGGGCTGGCAACGACACCACGGGCTTTCTTGCGGCATACACGCATCTGTCCGAAGGAGTTTACAGCATTGAGGCATTGACCCATAGCTTGCCAAGGTGCCAGTATGTCCACTTTGGTGTTGCATGGCACGGTCAGATATCGTGCCAACCGGCCAGACTGAAAAGCCGGATCCACCCAGAAGATGCGCCTGCGTCAAATGATGTCACATGGTCTCTGACTCTGGCGCACTCTGCGCAGCTTTTCCAAATTGGACCATGTCAGACCTCTTCTGCAGCTGCAAGGCCAGTACCGCAGAGATGCCAGCCGGTCCTATATAGAGACTCCCTTTCATCGAAACTCCGAAAAGACCCCGCAAAAGACCCCGAAGACTGTGAAGACTGCGGTGTCTCCGCACACATTGTGTCCTGCACCCACAACTAACACATCTGCTTCTGCAGATTGCTGGGGACATATCCCTGCGAAGCAGGTCGAGCTGCCCATACCTAGTTTGACATCGGGACGCTTCCCGCACAAAGCGCCAATCAAGCGCCACAAAGCATTCGCAGATCCTTGCAGCCAACGAGCATCCCATTTTCTTCGTTGTGCGCCGAGCACGGGCTTGGATTGAAGCCAACAGATCATGTACAAGAGATGCTGGACTCTTTACCGGTTGACTGATGCTGGCCGCTAGTGATATTTATGTTCAGTGTCAGTTCATTTCATTCCGGTTCAGTTCAATCATCAGCTATCAAGCTTTTCAAAGCTTTTCGGTAGGATGAACAATTGCGGAACTCAGTCTGCAAAAGGGCGACGGTAGCAGGCGGAAGCAAGACGCAGCAACGGTTGGGTGCGAAGTCAGCACGTCAGCACGTCAGCACAAGTAGCAGCTATAGCGAACTCCCAGCAGTGCGTTGAACCACAGAAGCATCGCCTTGCTGCAGAGCCTCAGGATTAGACCTGCAAAGGCAGCCGACATTTGAAGAGACAAGTTCATTCCCAAAAACCTGCAGCGACAGCAAAAGTTAGCGAGAGTGGTCGCTCATGAGTCACGGCGTCTTGATGATTAAAACATCTGCGGTCTGTCGCAGAGATTCGATGCATGTTCACTGAAGTCTATCACAGAAGCAGCCGAGGTAGATGGAAGTCAGCAAGGCCTCCGGGAGCTTGGAATCGCAATGCCGCAAGGGTCCTGACTCCAACATGTGCCGCTCATGGGCATCAGGGAGTCTTCAAGCTACGAGGCGGCCTTCGGAGACTCCTTTTTCAAACAAGAGCAGCACATGAAAGGACGATTGTGCTGTGCTGACGTTTCGCTTGCTGCTCATACACCTACAGTAGATGTGGTGTTGCAACTATCTCGGACGAGTGTCGATGATGCTGTAACACATGTGTGTGCTGCTGTTCTTGCTGGTTTCAGCTGAGCCACTATGAGGGCAACCACTTGACGTCCGCAGAAGCTTGTGCAGAGATAACAAGCGCAAAGCTGCTCAGGTGCAGCTTTTCAGGCCGAGAGCACGACATTCGCGCAATAACTTCAGCTCTCTCAGAGAAGGGGGCGTGTGGCTTCCTTAGACAGAGGATGCAGAACCCGGCATCATTAGATTTCGCCGGAGCATTGCGTCCAGCAACAGACAACTTCTCTCCAAGAATGCTGAAATGCAGTGGATTGCAGTGGACACATTGTCCTTTACCAGCATGATTGCGATGCTGCGGCGCTGCACTATGCAATGCCAGTCGCCGAACATGCAATTGCAAGATTTGCACGGCCCATTGACCGAGAGCGATACGATCTGTGCAATTGCCGCAGCGCCTGCCTTGCAATAAAGCCAATGTCCAAGCAGAATTTTGACAAGAGCCATGAGGGCGTAAGCAAAGAACTGGCGGGCATGAACCGGTTGTGCTGGACTCCGCGCCCGTGCCGGACAAAGACGTGTCCCGTGGAGGAGGCAGCAACAGCAGTAACAGGCAACAACTTTCGCCGTGCCCCCTGTCTCTCCTCTTCTGGTACCTAAAAGCTGGCCGACCCCACTTTATCCCAATTTCAGGTTGTTGCATGGACTGAAATCTCACATGCTGGGAAGGGCGTCCATCCCTCGGCCACCACGCGCGGGGGTGCGAAATTTGGCGCGTGCACCCACTCATACTAAGGTCCGGCTCACAACCTCCTCACAACCCCCCAGGCCCTAGGCAGACTTGAAACTGCGGTTGCCCGAACTCCCCGTAGATAAATCTTCTTTCCACTGGTAACTAGGGACTTTGCAGGTTCTGGAAGAACCTCCCCAGGCCCTGTGGAAGACCTCATAGCCTGCATCTTGATTGGGAAGTTCGCGCCCATGCTTGGCAAACTTGGCCTTTGGCTGGAGTTGGGAGGAATGGCGGGCTTGCTACCTCTTGTCGGAATAGACACCTGGTACGAGGACAGTGCCCTTGACCCCCTTGACTCTTGACTTTCAGGACACCTCGACTTCTCTGAAAGGTTCGCGGACCAGGGTAGGCCAAGCTGGAGTCCCAGCGAAGTCCCACACACCATCGAAGCCCGATGCTTTGCAGGCTTGGGCTGCTTGGGTTCCGACACCGGCTGTGAGGCTGTCATGACTGGCCAAGCGACAAGCGAATCAGGAACGCAGCTGGAAGCAGTCTGGGAGGACATGGCCGCAAGCGCAAACCAGGGCGCACCATCTGTGGACACCTTTGATTGGCATTGTTGCGTGCTTGAGACTCTGATGATGTACAGCTTGTGTTAGCCCCAACGGCGACGCTACTGGACCTCGCGTCCGGAGGCCTCCTACTTCGAGGCCACGGTGCACTCTCGAAGGAAACGAAACCGACTTGCAGCCCAACTGTGGCAAGGCACGTCAAGGCACTGTAGAGTGCTGCAGCCTGCAGCCAACCATATGTGGAACCGCTGAAGGCCTCCAGCATGTTCTGCGTGATTGCCCATTGGGGGATAGTATAGGGTGCCAAAGTGAGCATGGACACAGCGTCGTGGATCGTCGTGGGCTCCGGGAGGCGTTGGCCGATGGCCTATTGCTGCCATGCTTGGCAGGCGGCCAACTTCGACGGGCAAACTTTGCCGGAGCTCTCGTAGCAGCTCCGTGGTTCGGGTAGTTTTAGGTCGGATAGCCAGACTCAGACCCATCGGGTGGTTTCTCTCTCTTGCTTTTTCTGAATCTCTCGGATTCAGAAGGTTTCGAGCTGTTTCTAGGTTGCAGTTCCCGGATTACTTTTGATTCGCTTTCGTTTTTTCCCCAAACAGCCTACTGTTGGGCTTGGGTTTTAAATTCATTTAAGGATTGCCGACATTCTGAGGACTGTTGTCGGGTTCCTGGGCTCCTTGTCTCCCTTTGTCTCCCTTTGTCTCCCTTTGTCTCCCCTTGTCTCCCCTTGTCTCCTGTCTCCCTTTGTCTCCCTTTGTCTACCTTTGTCTCCCTTCATGTGGGTGGCTTTGCCGGGTTGCTGTGCTCCTCGCCTCCCTTTGTCTCCCTTCGTCTCCCTTTGTCTCGGGTCTCCTCCACTGTTACTTTGACGTGCCTTTGACTGTTTGGGGTCTTCGGTGGTGTAATTGAATATAGCAAGCCAAAAGCCATTTCGTGTGGGTAAAGGCCATCGCGTGGATGGAGGTGAGGGCCAGCATCCTGAAATATCCTGAATATATCCAAGACGGACCCGTGGCCTTTTGATGCGTTTGCAGTTCGTGCCCATGCGCTGATCGGAAAGGGATGAGGCGGCTCTTGCAACAATCGCATACCTGCCATAAAATTTAAACACAAGTGCCACCTCGTCAACTACTTTGGATTCAACTTCCTTTGCCTCAATCTCGGTGATGCGGCATAAGTCTTCAATCGTTGCAACTGTTTGGGTTCATGCGACGCTGGCGTGGACGATCGATTATCACATAGCCTGCAACTGCACTTATCGGGCCATGCCTGAAAGCTCCGGTGGGAAGGTATTCTCTCTTTTGTTCTGGCCAGTGTGAGGTCCCGGCGTCTGATCCTTTGCCCTCGTCTCGGAAGGAGACAGCTTTCTAGACGACCTTCGCCCACTTTCCCTTTTCACCCTGGCTTGCTCTTGAACTGTTCTTCGTGTTTTGTTCCTTTTTCAGTCCACCAACCAATCCGCTTCACCAGTGCCGCCAGGCCGTGCCGTGGGGGTTCCAGGCTGTGGGGTCCTTCAGTTAGACTTTTCTGCAAGTCTGGCACTCCCCGACCACTTCCCAAAGTTTTCCTGGGGCTTGCTGGCACTGCACCCCTGTCTCCTCACACCCTGCTGTGGGCTGGCCCACGAGGCGGCGAGCGCAAGCGTTTACGATTATCTTGTGCCTTCTGTGCCTTTCGATTTGCTGCCCTTTCGTTATTTTCTCGACTCGACCGAACCCTCTGCCGCTGCTTTCTTTACCGCAACTGCAAGACGAGAAATAACACACGTGCTGAGGCCTTTATACATTGTGGGCGGGGGGCGGGGGGGGGGGGGGTGACAACCTGCAGCCGAAGTATTGCGCACCATGTACTGGATCTTCTAGCATTCTGGCAGATTTATTGCCTTGAGATGAACCTTGTTCGCCTGCGAGATGCTCTTCGTCGTAGGCATCTTGCAATCGGCAAAATCTGCGGCTCTCGCATCCTGGAGCTATACTGGCCTGTGCCCTACGAGGCAGCGGATGTAATCTGGAGCCACAGTCGAAGAGATAAAGATCGCAGCAACTGCCGCTCAATTGATGGCCGTCTATGATTTTCCGTGTGTGGAAATCATGGGACAAAGGGAGAGAGAGATAGAGAGACAGAGAGGGCAGTACAAACCCTCCCCAACCTCAGTTCTGCACGAGCCCGGGCCAGCGCTGAAGACCTGGAACAAATCTATCATCTTTCTCGACTTTCTCGCTCAGCATCCATCACTTTCGTTTGCGCGCTTACTGACTGCCCTCGGCTCATGACATACAACCTTAACCGAGCAACAACTGTCTGTCTGCGATTCCTGATTGCAGCCGCCAGTGCCCCACGCCTGCTGAAGAAGACTGCGGATTTCTTCGGGGCCACCTGTCAGCCTGTTGGGCTCTCTTTCTGTGCTGTGGTGTGCCGCGCTTGTGGAGACTTGATCTGACATCAGATACGTCCAGGTCGCTCTTGGAGACAGCTGCCCAAAGCTCCCTACATTCGCTACATCTCCCTACACATCACAATGCGGTAGCCTCAGCAGGCAGCCAATGTCACTTGATGTTACTCGTGTTTCTGTCGAGCAGGGCTGTGCGCAGAACAAGTCATGCTTCAAAAGCCGTCAGATGGGAGGCGTGTGATGTGTGTGCATGTCTTGCCGGCTGCCTGTAGTCCAAATTGTTGCCAAGAGCCACCTGACCTGCACGCTGCCGATTTGACAATTGCGGGCTGACTGTCTCGCAAAGAAAGGGCCGCAATCTCTAAACTCACAAGCAGCTTCCTATGGCAAAAGGACCAGATTTCTGCCTCGGAGTTGAGGCTTGAGGTGAGGCTTCGGGGTCTCAAGCGGAT